ACTGTTGCTGGGGAAATAAACATGATGGCACATGAGGAAAAAAGTGCTCTCAAGTGGGGAGTAGGCAAGAGGAGCAGATGAGCTCTTATGAAACAAAGGACTCTCTCCTCTCCAAGTGTTGCCTCTAACAAAACAAAATATGCGGTAAAGTGACTGAAAACATCTTAGAAAAATTGACTGTGCTTAGTTACATTATATAATAGGACATCAGTGAGTCTTTATCTAAATTACACAGTCTGAGGCATTTCACCCATTCAGTGTCTCTAGGCTTCTTAAATGGTGGGGGTTTTCTTATCTTCTTCCCATCACAACTGAAAATGCGTGTCTAAATCCTTGTGTATCTATGCTCCATTATTGACTTACAAACACTACATTGCTTCCCAGTGTTCTTACTTAATCTCCTGTGGTTAGGGAACACTAAAACACAAAGATTATTGTGCGCTTGATATTACAGATAATATCTTTGTCTTTGAGGCTCTCAACTCTCCTGGGACCTCCCCCTCAGGAAAATTCAACTGCTGCCACCGCTTTGCGACTCAAAACCAAAAAAGCACTTTTCTTCTATGCTCTGACCTTTGCTGTAAGCATTGTGAAGGGCTGAAGGGAAGAAACAAAAGATCAGGAATCCTTCTGTGTAGTACATGCTCTTAACCTCCACTGCTGGAATCAAGGCCCACTTTAATCTGAGCAGGGACAAACACAAAACCAGTTCTCGTCATCAGACCTTGGGACAACAATTCCTGCAGATGTGCAGTAATGACATTCTCAGCATGGTAGATCTCTATCTAAAACTCAGCCGTTTAATAGGGAAAGGAATGTCTGCACAAACATTCCTGTCTTTACATTCCTGAGCTCTACTGCATCCTTACCTTCATGTCATAGGCCCCCCAAAAAATGTTTCATCCCCACTGAGGGGCAGGGCACAACTGCAAGTAAAATATAAGGAACCGGTCATAGAACTCTGGACAGCAAGAAAAAGAGATCGAAAGAAAAAAAAACTTCAATCCATTTTGACTAGACAGTCATTTTAGGTCCTCCAACTGACATTTTCTATTCTATTCTATTCTATTCTATTCTATTCTATTCTATTCTATTCTATTCTATTCTATTCTATATTAGTGTAGGTAGTGAGAACACAGAGCAATGCAAGCTAAGAACTATTTGGAAGTAGCTTGTTCCACTGAAAAAATTTGCTTTTTAAGAGCTCAGTCCAGCCAGGGCAATAATCCCCCTGAACTTCAAAGCCCCATCTTCCAGCTGCAATGGTGTTTCTTTCCATCCCTTTTACCATGGGACCAAACAACCAAGCACAGAGATGTTGTTGAACAAAACTGGATTTGCTATCAGCTCTTTTGCCTGCACCAAAGAAAAAAAGTGACCAGCTGGAGGTTAGAAAGGAAGAAAAGTGGCTTGTGTTCTAACCAAAGAAGAATTTGGACCACGTGGTGGAGTTCTATTTACACATTTCTGACATAACTGATAGTGATAACACCAGATAGAAATGGCAACTCAGACATTCAGCAGCACCTTCAGTGACCACAGCCCCTCCAGGCAGGCAGATGGGGAGCCCAGGGAGAGTTCAGCCTGCTTTTCAGGGGTGCAAGGTTTCAAGGTGCAAAGCACACTGCAGATACAGGTCTGGGGAAGTAAACCAGCTACTGCATCCCCTTGGCCACACCACATACTCTGGACATACATACATAATGTGGCTCTATCCCAACAAAGGAGCACTTGTGTGTTCACTGTTCACCCCCGCAGTCATATCTGCTTCAGTCAAAAGGGATTTTGGCAAAAATGAGGGGGTTTTTACACAGAGTTTCATTTTTTCTCCTTGCCTCATCTTTTCCAAGCTTTGCTCCTTGCTCCTACATGATGGTGAGAGCCTTTGCAGTGCAGCAGTTATAATTTGTCTTCCATGAGCAATTTTTAGGGCCATGTGTACTGTCCTTCTCATGTCCACGTCAGAAAGCAGGACTGACAACTATCAAGCATTGGGGTAAGAATGAGTAAAGCAGTGACACACGGAGGAAGGAGAAGAGCTCCCTTGCTGTCTCTTATCTGCCCCAAGTACAAGGTCACTGTGAACTGCAGGTCTCCTGCATGTAACCCAGCTCCACAGCCTCCCTGCTACCCCACAGTCCTACAAACATTGCTGATAAGTGGCTTAAAGGATCCACTGGCCAACTTCCCCAGCACACACCATGTGGGACAGAGGCCACAAACTTGGTGCTGAAAATACCTGAAATGGGCTTATGACTGAGGTAGCATGAGGGGAAGACCCACGGGTCACATCACAGCCAAGAGCAAGGTGTTCTGCCTGCCTGCCTTCTGCATGGCCAGCCCCGGCAGGGCTGCCCCAGAATGTAAAGGGAGCAAACAAAGGCAAAGAAGAATTAAAATGCGCTCAGGCAGGAAAGATTTGGGTTCCCTGTTCTTCTTCACACACCAAAGTAGCAAAAACTTGCAGAGAATAGAAAAAAGGCTAAAGCAAGAACAGCAGCAGCAGGCAAAAGCAATTACTATTTCCTAAACAACAAACAGCTCTTTCAAAATCGGCTTTATACGCTTCAGAGAAAGATTGCAGGGGACACATCCATTTTGCCTGTTATGTAGATTTTTAAACTTAAGTACATACCCACCTGAGTATTGCATAAGATACCAATTAAGAACATTTATTTTGGGTAAAAGAAAAACCAGTGAGCCACTCTGCTTAACTGCCATCTCTCAGAGAGACAGTCTTTTTCCATTTGTCTCCTCTTCCACTAAAAACAGAGGAGTGTTTTATGCCAAACAGTAAAACCTCAGGTCTCATTTTCCAATTTGGAGTCTCAGAGATGCACAGCCCTGTGTTCTTACCCTGTAACTATCCTCCAGTCTCCTATAATCACACTCAGTGGTCTGAGTTCAGCTCTCACCAGCTTGCAGCAGCCCTTTGCAAAACACTTTATCATGATTTTTCCATCAGCTCTCCTCCTCTCCCTGCTTCTTGATTTTCCCTGCCAGATTTTCTCTGGGTGGTAGAAGTTGAATGGCTCTGCCTGAAATCATAACTGACTCTGGCCCCTAATGCCTATAGGAGACAGCACTTCTGACTCACAAAGGGAAACAAATTTTTCCACCAAATTCCCCCCACTTGGCTGATAATATTTAGTTTAACTCCACTGTTTCACTGCTCATCTCTAGAGCTGATGTGTTTCACCAGGGAAAAAGGAATCCTTCCCCTCTGGGGGGCTGGTTGGGTGTGCCCATCGATCTGACCTACCATGAGATATTGAACTTGTACTGACTTCAGCTTTAGGCTGTATCTCTCTAGATGTTTACACGATGATAGACTCAAAATCTGTGAAAAATGCAAATATTAGCTTTGCTAAGCTGGTGCCCAGTACAAGGTTCAAGCATTGAAATAGGCTTCCCAGGAAAGTGGTTGAAGCACTGTCCATCCCTGGAGCTATTTAAAATGTGTGTACATGTGGCACTTGGAGACACGGTTTAGTGGTGGACTTGGCAGCGCTGGGTTAATGGTTGGACTTGATAAACTTGAGGTCTTTCCCAACCTAACAGATGCCATGTTTCTACGATTCCATCTCAAAACTGAGGTGCTCAAATCGGGGAGACAAGGGTGTGGGGGTCCACAGAGGAAGGTGTCAGGGTTCCTTGGCTCTCTGACCACCTGGGTAGCCTGTCCTCAGCTTTTGTGATTCCCCCTAACCTCCCAGCTCCCGTGGCTAGACAGAGAGTGTCCCCCCACCAGGGACGGGGTGCATCCGCACACACTGGGGCACAGCACGGCTGTCAGACGGCTCTGGCTGGGGCGGGGGGGGGGGGCAGCGCTCGCCTGCAGGGCGCCCATGGGACACAGGAGGAAGGGGCACGTTGCGGGGGAGGCAGGACCTCTCTGCGGCGAGAGGGGCAGCGAGGGGAATGTTGGCTCCGGGGAGGGCTCTCCCTCCGGGGATGCTCCGCCAGGGCCATACCAGGCGAGGGGACCGGCGCTGCCGCGGTGACATCCCCGGTAGGACGCGAGGCGGAGGCAGCGCAGAGGGACCCACCGGTCCGGTGGGAAGAAACTTCCCCGGCGGGGCCGGTCCGGGCCCCCCGCCCCGCCCGCGCCCCGCCCCGGAACGGGGCGAGGCTGCTGCGGGCGGGCAGAGCCCGAAGGCTGCGGGCGCCGGCGGAGGGTCCGTGCCCGCTGCAGGGTCGGTGCCCGCCGCAGGAAAGCGCCGCGGTAAGGCCGAGCTCCGCGATCCTGGGGTCCTCTCAGCCGGGAGAAGTTGGGCTGAACCCCCATTCCGGGGCTGCAGCCCTGCTGAGCATCTCCCCCTCCCTCCGCGGGCGTCCCCCGGTCCCAGCCGGTGTGACGGGGAGAAAGGAGCTCGCCGGGCCAGAGCTCGGCGGCAGCTCGGAGCTGCAGGGAGGATGGAGGCGCGACAGGAGCAGGGAGGTTCAGGTGGGACCCAGTCTGGGCTGCAGGTGTGGCCGCAGGGCGCGTCGCTGGGACGCCCGTTTGACGGGACATTGGAGAGGTAGGAGCCGGTCCGGGTTGCAGATGCAACAGAGCGGTGGATAGGTAGTACCTGGACCAGACTGCAGGTACGACGGTGGAGCATACAGGTGGGAGCTGGTCCGGATTGCAGCTGCAAACATACCGTGTATGGGCTGGATGTGGTTTGGATCGCAGGTGGTGGATGTGGGTTGGATCGCAGGTGCAGCTACACCGTGCCCAGGTGTGACGTGGTCCAGATTGCACGTGTAGGTGCAACGTGGTGCGGGTTGCAGGTGTGATGTGCAGGTGGGATGTGGTCCTGCTGTGCCGGGGGCTGACTGAGCATCTCCAAGCACAGAGTGTATGGCTGCTGTGCCTGTGTCCAAGCTGGGCAACTTTCAGGCTTTTATTTTGAAAGATTCTGTTATCCAGTGGTTTTCGGACGTCTCCCAAGTCCTGCCCAGTTTTCCCACACAGCTCTCTCCAGCCTCATCCTCCCTTTTGCTCAATAACTCTGCAATGATGAAATGGCTTCTTGCAACATCAGCACGCAGAGCTGAATTCCAGAGCTCGGGGGCGGGGAAGGAGTGCTCAGACACACTGATCTTAGGAGAAATGCCCCAAAACAGTGTTCATGGTCATCCCTCCCAGTACCAGACCGACACTGTGAAATGTGCACTGCTTTTCTCGGATTCCCGAAGAATTTTGCTGGGTAAACACAGTGGGACACAACCCCAGGCTCCCTGGTAGATTGCGAGGAAACTTCTGGCCTAAGTCAGTTGGAAAGAAAAGTTGGAGTCAGCAGAGTTGCGGTAAGGTTGCCATCGTCCTACTGAACTTGCTCAGAATTTGGGCTGTCTGGCCACTAATCTCATTTCTCTTCCATCCACTTAAACTTGCTTTTCCGCTACACAGAAGCTGCCAAAACTAAAGGATGGGGGGCGGGGGGTGTGTGTCATAGGAACCTATGAGAATAAGGGTGGGGGGGTTTTTTTGTCCTATTATAAGTTAATAATCCCATTTCTAGGCTGTCATCCAAGAATATTGCTCAAAAAATGCAAGCAGTGTACAAGACCCATTGTATAAAAGATAATCTAAATGCAGGACAGGAAGGGACCTGGCAGGTCAGCAAATCTAAACACAGAATGATATTATGCCTTACTGCACAGCACTGTAATTCATTTGTTCCTGGTCTCCTGGGAAGGGGAAGTTTCAGAACTTTACTGAACTGACACTGCAATTTTTTCTCTAATATATGGTTTTCTCTTACTTTGTATATGCACTGTGACTGCTTAGTTCTCCCAGTATATATGCTTTTCTTTGTTATCAGTGTAGAAATAGGAGTTGCACGCTTTTCACTGTGTCATGCCACGCAAGATTGAACTTGCTGTCTGCTTTCATGAAGCAGGCTCCAGCTTATGCTGATCCCTGGCAGTCATGGGCTGGCCTTCTTATTTTCCAACTTCCCTGTGGATGAGCAGAGCTGCCAGGCTCAGAGATCTGTCCTGTGCCTCTCATGCTTTGACATCTCACCTAGAAATAAATCCCTCACCTGGTAGGTACTGCAATTATCTCCTCCTCAGGTTCTTCCTGCCCTGTGATGGGGGTGGGAAACTGGAATGTTTCATCCTCAGGTGTCCATCTGACTTTTGTTTTCTGCTGTCAGCTCTCATCTTGCTCCAGGCCTCTTATTAATCCCATTTTTATTGCATACCCCCATGTTCCGTGCTGGTGCAGTATTCCCCCAGCTTTCTCCCACTTGCTTTGTTGTGAAGGGAGAACTTAAGTTGGTAGTGACCCCTGCCAAATTCAGACTGACCCCTTCCATTTGATTGTCTGTCCAATCCTTTTAGGTCTGTACCCTATCGCAATTTTTCATCTTTTGTTTGTTAACTCCTGATTTCACTGAGATGCACAGCAAGGGGCTGCATTCAGATGTGTTTGAAGCTGAATTTTGCCCGGTGTGTGCCAGGTATGCTGGATAGGCTTCCCAAAGTAGCTGAGTAGAAAATATTTCTTATCAAAGCAAGCTAAGTTGCATTTTGTCCTCCTTCCTTCCCTGTTTACTTCCGTGACATCAGTTATTGGGGTGGTTTTTTTCTGCAACAATTGTTCTGTTGATGAGGGATGTTTAATCCCACCATTGTGTTGTAACCAGACGTGAGTAGAAGATGGGTGTAATTCAGCAGTGGGTATCAACACAGTGCTGTAGACTGGGCAGTGAACAATATTCATAGAGCTGAAACAGCTGGGGGAACGTCAGACAGACTCAGTGCTCCTATCTGAGCTCAGATTTAGCTCCCAGTTGAACATCCTTGCTCTTAATATTTGCAATGTGGTCTATCAATAGTGATTCAGAGGAAATACCACCCACTGAATCAACAAAGTCAGCTCACAGGGTCACACAAGGCACTGAACAAATCCAGCTCTGCTCAGTGCAAAATACCGCAGCCAGTAGGTGCAGATAAACACTTCACAAGGAGTTATCCCTGTTCCATTCATTAACACTGGACATGGTTTTTTATATAACCAGGTGAAAAAATAGCTAAATATTTTGCAGAAGCTAGATGCAGCCCTGCAGCCTGATGCTCCTCGTGTTCAGTGCATGACTACCTTCTTCTGCCCTAATATATTATAATCCCTTTGGTATTATCCACCAAACTCAAGTTTATTCCAGTGTTTCTCAGCACTGCATATGCAGCAGTTTATCATACAGTGCTCATGAGTGTGCTGCTGTAGAGCCTGCTTCCATCTCTCAGTGGCCAGAAAAAGCACTGAGAGCACCAAGTGCTGCAACAGAGCAGGCAAACAATCTGTATTTTAATTATACTCTTGGGTTCTGTGCTGTAAACTGAAATGCTAAGAACAAATTGGGGGAAGAAAAAAAGACGTCAAATTCTGAGCTTTGACTTTCCCCTTCTAATGAAGGGTGGCATCGTGCTCATAGGTCTGGTGTGGGGTTTGTCACAGCATCCCAGTTGTTCCAGGTCTGCAGGCACGCTTTGAGAACTGGAGCGAAGCGCAAAACAGGAGTGCTTCAAAAAAGGGTTCTCTGCGTTTGGGCAACTTTGCTGTGCCTCTCAGGATTCTCGTCAAGGGCAAGTATCATCTGCCTCCTTTCTCCTAGGGAAAAAAAATACTAGTGAGCAACAACCAAGCCTTATAATTGCTACCAGGTAATGTCAGTGGTAGATGAGCTGATTTAATGGAACTGAATGTCAAAACAAATAGGGGTGTGGGGTTCATGCGTGAGCCCCTGAGTCATAGCCTGGCATCTACAGGAGTGCCCGCAGTTTAGTAAGTAGTTGTGTGGTGTGGCAGGTGAACATTTGTTGCTGTTTTGCCAGCCAGCCTCTCATATCTGCAGAAATCATCAGGAGAGCATCTAACAGCATGATGGTTTTTCTGTTTGATGTAACGAACACATATTGTTCCCAGATTCAACTGTTTCTACTGGTTTGGTACCTGAGCTGACATTTCAAAGCGCTGGGAATGCTGAAGCCACAGATCAATGAGAGTCTTAAGCAAGCAATAGTGTTTGCAAAAAGCTCTTTAGCATTTGATGGTGTATTTCAAGGTGCTCCGAAAAAAGAATGATCCGATAAAGGACATCAGGCAAAGCCAGAAAGGAGGACTGGGAGCCGGTGGATGAAGTCCTCATGCCAGCATTGGAGTCACTCAGCTGATTCCAAAATGTTTAACTACCCTAAAAGAAACAGCTCATTTCAGAAGGGACCTTGCTCCAGCACTATGTCCAGTAAAACAAGTACAGGCAAGTGAAGAGCTGACAAATACTTTAGCTGGTAAGGTGGGATGTTGAACTTGGCAAGGTTGTAGTGGGAATCACCAGGTGGTGCTGATTGGCATTGACTTCCCATTTGTTTTTCTTACCACAGCTTTCTTTTCCTCAGCTGAGGTGTAAACGGTATTTATTTGGGGGAATGTCTGAGGGCAGAGGAGGGATTTGCTCTTTGCACTGCTGCTCCATTAGAGTATGTTGAGCAGGTGTCCTCAGCCACCCCTTGGTGCTGAAAAGACTTTCCCAAAAGGGACACAAAGGAAATTTCAGTTGATGGTTTGCATGGCTGCTCACAGAGTACCCACAGGTTCAGTAACACTGATTTCACCCCAAATCCAACTTGCTAAACCTTCTGTTGCCTCTGCTGTTCCCAAGCTGTGGTTAATGCCAACATAGGACATCACTAATGGCAGCTGGCCACCTTGGGGTGAAGTGGGTCTCCACTTTTCCAGCTGGGAGAGCTGAGTCACGTTTTAACAAGCGAGGACAGCAGAGGAATTTGGAGATCACTCCAGGAAAGTGTGGGAAAGGAGTCACCCTGCAACCATAAACTCTCTATATTTAGTTGTACTTTAAAATGGAAAATGCTGGTGATTTTGCAGTTGCAGAGGTCAAATGAGTTTGGGGACCCGCAGATCTGCTCTGCACGGAGCCTCTGCACAGGGAGTCATGGCCACCTGTCTGCCCCACTGTGTTCCCCAAAGTTAGGGACATTCCAGCCTTGTCCCTGTCCCAGGGACTGCACAGTGAGCTCATCCCTTGCTGGAGGCACAGCCTCTCCCCAGTGTACCCTGGCAGGCATAGGAGGTGAAGGGAGGGAAGCAGCAGAGCCCCTTTCCTCTCTCCAGATCAATGAATGAGGTTGGCATCATCTTTCTTTATTTATTTATAACTTTGGTGAACATCTCTGCTTGTGGCAGTGTAGCCAAGGAATAACTTTGTTACCCTCTGCTCTGTTGGTTAAATTGCATTATTTTTAATGAGGCAGCTACCTCCATGCTGTTTCTGTTCTGCTGGTTTCCCCTGTCTGGGAACTGCCTGCTCCTCGTCCGTCCTGCTTTTCTGTTAAGTCATTGCCCAGCATTCACTGGAAGCAGTGAGCTAAGTGTTAGCTTTATTTTCTGACAGAGGCCCCAGGTGGAAACAGAAGTTCCCGTAGTACAAGGCAGCGGCTTTTTGTGAGTGATGCTTTTCTTCCCACACCCTGCTGAGAAGTCAAACTGTGGCAAATCAACTCATTCCACTGTCTGGCCCAGATCAAGGTACTTCACCTAAATAAAAGGATGGTCCCTGCTGCCAAAGGATTTACTCCAAGGAGGGGGTGCAGCTCCTCATGGGCTAGGTGTGCAACCCAGGGGGATGCAGGAGGAGAGGCAAAGCCACACAGCCCTCCCTGGACCATTCCTTGTGGACTGGCCCATTTCTTCCATCAGCACTACAGTTCCCAGCTCCAAGATCTTTCCCTCTGTCCCAGCAGGTCCCTTGGGGGTATGAAGTGGCACCAGGGGGTTTTGGGGTCCAGCTTTGGGGTTTTGCCCCCCTCGCTGCCCACAAATGTGGACTCTGGGCGGCCGCCTCCCCTGCATCGTCTGTGTGAGTAAGCCTCCCTCCCGCCCCAGAAACAGCCACAATCTTCTCCTTTGTGTGTTTCTAGCTCAGAAAAGGCTGATTCATTCTCTGAAGCAGATTAATTACTTCTTCTATTTAGAAAAAAATAATATAAATCCTCTAGAATTGGTCAGCTTAACTTTCAGCTGTATGCACAGTGCAGTAAAGCAAATGCGCTGTGAGCCAGAGCATAAAAGTTCACAAGGAATAAGAAACTGGGGGTTGCAGTATTTACCTGGTTTGTCAGCAGTGGGCTCTGCAATTTAGGAAGTATTTGTGAATGTGTCTTCTTCTTGACTTATATGACAAACGGTGCAAATTTGAGCCCACCGTGAAGGCGAACTGGGGAACAAATATTTTTATTCCTTGATACATTTTATAACTTGTTTCCCTTCTGGTTTACAT